AATGAATAAAATATGAGATTATTGTTGTAATCTACAAAATAATGAATTTGGTATTTTATTTAAAGACTTAAAATTTCAATTTATTGTTCTGAAAAAGATTTAAAAAATATGTTATACATGCTATAAAAAAATATAAATAACTTGGGTTGTTCTGGATAAAGACGTGAAAATAATTAAATTAACTAGTGGGATTCGAATTCTATCATCTACTATACAATTGTAGCATCGAGAGATTTACCTTAGTTGTAGGCGAAACCCACGGTTAGTCTTGATAAAACATGAGATCACCCATTCCAAAAATTAATATTTATAATCTATATTGTATTATAAATCATTTGATAAAAACTCTTAAAAACTATATTTCTTATAACTAACTGCAGATATTATAATTAAATAAAAAATAAACATCTTATTTTAAATACAAAAAAACTAAAATATAACTAGGATTGTCATTGACTTCTAACAAAATATTTAATTATTATCTTTATAAAAATTAGATTAATAAACTAAAAATAAATAAAATGAATTAAAGAAATACACAAGAAATGAAGAAAATTTAATAGTTAATTTGGTACTAATATCAATATTTTTACAAAAAAATTTATGATATCTTTATATTTATATTTTATTCAAAAATAAAAACATTAAGTTTTATCAAAACTACATAAAACCGTATTATAACATCGATGGAGACAAAAAAAACATATAACAAAACATTAAAATTGAGATGTATCTTTCTGCATTATGTGAGTACCCTTTTAGTATATTATAAAACATTTAGTAAAAACTCTTAAAAAATTATTTTTTACATGAAGTACTGTTTATTGATGTATATTACTAACTGCAGATAAACATAATCAAATACAGAATAAACATCTCATTTTAAATATAAAAAAATTAAAATATAGTTAAGATAATCAATGAGTTATAACAGAATACTCAACTATTATCTTTATAATAAATTATATTATTAAATCGGAAACATATTACTTTGTAAAGCCTATTAAATTATAATAAAAGATTGAATTAAAGATTACACGAAAGAAAGAAAAACTTTTAAATAGTTAATTTAATATTAATATCGATATTTTTTTCTTCAAATTTATATTTTATTAAAAAAATAAAAACATTGTCGTTTTTTCAAAACTATATAAAATTATATTTATAACATCTATAAAAACATAAAATGAAATAAAATAAAATATTAAAATTAAAATTCATCTCACTACATTACATAAATATAATTTAATAATAAAGAATATCCATTAGTATATTCAATTTTGATGAAAGGAGAAGAAAGTGAGAATCGGTCGAATGGCAAAAGAGGCGTACGGAAGCGTACCATGTACCATCTTATGACGTCATCTAAGTTAGGTTTATTGAAGGAAAATTGTATCAAAATATAACTAATTTTTATCTAATTTTTATTTTGGAGAACCAATTTTCAAAGTCGTCATTTTGGGAAACCAACTTGCATCTGATTCTTATTTTGGGGAACCCCAACTTTTAAAATCGTCATTTTGGGAACCAACTTGCACCTGATTCATATTTTAAGGAACCAACTTGTAAAATAATTATAGAAAAATAACTAAAATTCGTTTTTTTTCCAAAAATTAATGCAATATAATCTATTTTTCATTTCAAATCTCGTTTTTTTAATTCAGATATCAAATTGAATATTTTTAAAAAAAATCCAAACTACCACAATAAAAATTATTTTTTATTAATGCAAAAAAAATCAATTTAATAGAAAAAAAATTAATTGATGCAATAAAAAATAAATATTAAATATCACATTTAAGATTTTTATATCTAACCAATCCATATCAATATTAAAGTTTAAAATCAAATTTGGCAAATCAAACCAAAAGTTTGATAGAGACTCTTAAATTACTTGTTACTTGTTCAACATATCAACCAGACCCTTAAATAAACAAAAAAGTTTGATAGAGACCTCCAAATGATGATTTTGAAAGTTGGTTCCCCAAAATAGGCATCAGGTAAAAGTTGGTTCCATTTTTGTGCAATTTTCTCTTTATTTAGTAGTTACAATTAAAGGGTCGTTTACTAAACGCTTACTCGGGTAAGTGAATACTAAATCACATTATCTTACCGGATGAATATGATAAGGACCAAGAATTTTACCCTGTAAGTGAGGACAACGATTCTTACCACGGTAAACGCTTACCGGGTAAATTGTTGCATACGATACCGTTTTGATGGACTAAAATCTTACCCGGTAAGTCAATGATAGTGTTAATTAATTTTGCCGGTAAATATTTACCGGGTAAATATTTGGTAAACGGCCCCTAAATATGTCAACAATTTACAGTCGCCCAAAATTGTTATCCAATTATAAATAAATAACATATTTGACCCTTCAACTTTAAAGATAGTTCTTTTACACCACCAATTTTTTTTAACAATAATTGTTTCTATTCCAGAATGCATGTGTTTCCTTCTTTTATTGCTGTCGTATTTTCTTTCAACCATACCAACATGATCATGTTTACGGACTGTTTTAAATACAATGACATGTCCCTGTTTTTAGTTTTCTATTGTTTTTAATTTATGTTTAGTATTTTTTTGAAGAAAATTATCTGGTGTAAAAAGTTCAATTATTGTCATGTTTAATATATATATATATATATATATATAGAGAGAGAGAGAGAGAGAGAGAGAGAGTTTGTTTTAAATACAACTCATCGTATTTGTACAACCAATGCAACCTAATAAATTGAGATATTTATAGAAATAATAAGAGTTCATTTATTATGATTTGAATATTTATGAAAGATGAATATGGTTCGTTAATTATTATCAATACTTTATATTAGGAAATAATCAAAACTTCTATGAAATCACATATTAATCAAATGAAATGTACGGTTGAGACCAACCCCTCTCTCTCTCTCTCTCTCTCTCYCTATATATATATATATATATATTATCGTTTGGATTTGTTTAGTTAGATATGCTTAAAATGTCGTAGTTTACTTGCATGATTAGAAGTTGTTGAGTTAAATATTGCGTCAACGACAATACTATGTGCAAAAGTTTTGTGTAATTAATAATAAAATATTATTATTAGGCTATAAAATTAAATGTTGCATACTTACATCTTAGAGGGTACGGAGTACACTTGAATCAATTGGAGAATTCTTTTGCCAAAAAATGATACAAACTGGGAAAATTATAAGAAATAAGTATTTGTGGGTTAAACGAAGCGAAAGAATCGTTACTATAGGGGTAATGAACAACATATATGTACTTTATACATTTAGGAATTGTTCGGTTGGTTTTTATTGCGTCCTCTACAGATAAACCTATCTGTATATATTAATCTGTTTATATATATTAAAAAGAATTTTGTATGAGAGGGTATTTTGATAGATGGAAGAAACATGGTTTTTTTTTTATTGGCAGAGGAAAATTTGAAAGAAAAAACTTTACCGTCTACATAAAACTCTCCTTAGAATCTTATTGCATAAACCACTTTCTATCAGAGACGGATCAATTCTACCAAGGGAAACTTTTGTTTTCATTGTAGTTTCAAAATATATACGTTGACACACAACAAATTGATACGGTAACACTTTTCACAACCTGATAATATATTTTTTACACTACGACGGTGGTCCGTGCCACCGCATGCACTACACTGGGCTCGTTCTTACTCAATTCGTATATCATTAAGTCACTATCAAACAATCATGTATAACTGGCCCTGATAAAAAAAACTGAAAGTCTTATTAAATACATTAAGTTGCTAACAAACAAACTCTATGCAAAAGTGATGGAAAACATTTTACATACACCTTTACTATCCTAGAAGACTTTGGTTCCAAGAGAACCCTAATTATAAAATATTACTTATATACATTTCGGTTCTTAAAAAAATCAATAATGTTATGTAATGTTGAGATGATTTAAGATGAATAATAATGTTTAAAATTTTTTTAAATATTATCTATATATTATATTATAAAATATTTGACAAAAACTTTTAAAAATCAGTTTTTATGTATAAACTATCGTTTATGATGCATATTAATTAAAATTTAAGATTGCAACTAAATTGTGTATAAATACAATTTACTAAAGCTCTATGTTTGAATTCGTGTAACTAACTGCGTATAAAAATAATCAAATAGAGGATAAACATCTCATTTTAAAATATAAAAAATCTAAAATATAATTTAGATAACTATTGAGTTCTAACAGAATATTTAATTATTTCATACAAAAAATATATTATTAAACCTAAATTAAGTTACTTCGTTACGTTAAATTAAATTATAATAAAACATTTGAATTAAAAAAAATACACAAACAAAAAAAAAGTAATAGTTAATTTGATACTAATATTGATATATTTTTTGCAAATTTTATATGATATCTTCAATTTTATATTTTATTCAAAATAAAAACATTATCGTTTTCTCAAAACCACATAAAATCGTACTATATCAATATAAATAAAAAATAAAACAAAACATTAAAATCAAAACATGTCTCGATACATTACACGAGTACCCTTGTATTTGAGATAAAATATTTAGTGTAAAACCACCTTTTTAAAGAAGAATTGAAGAGGGGATTTGTACTTCCACTCACCACACAAACAAAAAAAAGACACTAGAACAGCTGTTTAAAGATGTGTAATGTTCTTTTATTTTTAAGAATTTCTGTAAACATTAAGTCATAGTATTTTTTATAATATATAAGTTCAACATGTTAATAATCATTGTTTGATATTTATAACTTTAATTTTACATTGTAGCTTAATTATTTATTTATTGAAACTTACTTTTTTTACAAATAAAGATTCATATTTAATAATAATAATAATAATTCAGGTTGTTTAATTAGACAAAATTTGATTATCTCTAATACAGATATTCACCTCACTTATATATATAAGGCCAACTTCATCTCACTTGATAAGCCATCTCTCTTCTCCTCTTATATCTCTATCAACATACTACAATTACATAGCCATGGCAATCGAGATTGCTTCTTCACCATCACCACCCTATCAAAACCCTAACTGCAACCTTAAACCCTCAATTTCAAAGATCAACCATGCCATAGTTGAATTCGGCATGCGAATCAAGAAGATCGCAGAAGATGATCCGAGAAGGGTGGCACACTCGTTCAAAGTGGCATTAGCCATCACATTGGTCTCCATGGTTTACTATCTTCAGCCCTTCTATAACGGCATGGGTGATGCCGGAATGTGGGCTATCTTGACCGTCGTTGTAGTTTTTGAGTACACAGTCGGTGAGCAACTTGGTTATACATGATCAAACTCGTGTCTCATATGTTTACACATGCATAATAACTACATTAACCAGAAAGGTTCATTTCAACACATAGTTTTGAAAATTGGTCGACGTGATCAGTTACTATTTGAATCATTTAGGTCAATTGATTTAGATTGTATAATGCTTAATGGGTTCAGTTTACAAATATCAAAAACTTAGTTAAAAATCACAAAGTGGCTTAATTCATCACAATTTACATCCGAAATCATGCATTTGTTGTCCATGAAATATAAGAAAAAGAGTAACACCAATTCGATGCGATCCAACCCATCTTAAAAAGCTAGCCTTGTCAACCCATTTTGCACATATAGACGATAAGCACTTTATAGTACCTCCTGATCATCTTAATGAATTAAGTTCTCAACATGGGATTCTATTTAGGACACGTAGATAATCTTTGAAATTATAATTAGTGTTTGCGTAATATTTCTATTTAATGTAGTTGTCATTGATTGAATTAAATGATTCAATTCTAAATGTTTTTATTTCTTTTTTCACTAGGTGCAACCTTAAGCAAAGGCATGAATAGAGGGTTTGCGACTTTACTAGCCGGTGCATTAGGTCTCGGGGCTGAATCCTTTGCCAGCCTATTCGGGTCGACTGTTAAACCAGTTCTTCTCGGTTGCTTTGTCTTCCTGTTAGGTAAAATCCTATATCCTTGTACGTATATGTGATTTTACATACAATACAATTAACCGATAACTTTATAGTTAATCAATGTTGATTGTGATTTTTGAAACTACAGTTGCTGCTGCCACCTTCTCCAGATTCTTTCCCAACATTAAGAAGAGGTACGATTACGGGGTTCTGATATTTATATTGACGTTTAGCTTGGTATCTGTATCGGGTTATCGAGTCGAAAAAATCATCGAGCTGGCGCACCAACGGTTGTCCACCATTATTTTCGGTGGTGCAACCTGTATAATCATATCCATATGTGTTTGCCCAGTGTGGGCTGGTGAAGATCTTCATAAACTCATCGTCCTTAACTTGGAAAAGCTTGCAACCTTCCTAGAAGGTACATTATCAATATATATAAATACTTTTAATTATTATTTTAATATTTTCTTTAATGAGTTAGAAATTTTAATCACATTCTAATTAACTAATACATGTTTTCTAGGATTTGGAAGTGAATACTACAGAATTTCTGAGGGTGACAAATCATTTCTTGCAGCTTATAAAAGTGTCCTTAATTCTAAAGCCACTGAAGAATCCTTGGTTAGTATATATATATCCAAATTAAAACCATTATATATATATATATATATATATATAATGGTGTATATATATACACACACACAGAGATCAGAGAGAGGGGATCGATTTCTAATGAACGATGTTTGAAAGCAGGCAAATTTTGCATGGTGGGAAGTAGCGCATGGAAAATTTCGATTCCGTCATCCATGGAAACAGTACTTGAAGATTGGGGTTCTTACACGTCAATGTGCATACCATATCGAAGCTCTTAATGGATATCTCGATGAAAAAATTGAAGTAAGATCATATAAATTAATGACCGTGATCACTGATTTCATATTATCATGATCATTAACTTCATATTTCTCTTACAGACCCCTTCAGAGTTTCAGAAAACAATTCAAGAACCATGTATGAAAATGAGCTCAGAAGTAGGAAAAGCTTTGAGAGAGTTAGGGTTGTCTATGAAACTTATGATGTGTTCTTCAACTTCAGCCATTCATATGGAAAACTGCAGAAAAGCAATAGATGAACTCAATACCACATTACAGGCTTCAACAGTGGAGAAGTGGGATATCGTAGAGACCATACCGGTTATCGCAACAACTTCGATACTGGTCGACATCATAAAATGTGTTGAAACAATATCTGAGGCCATCGAAGAACTTTCTAAACAAGCCCACTTCCAAAAGCCCAAGGACATAACGTCAGATATAAATGACAAACCGCACTTTATACAACATGGTGGAGTTGTAAAACCTGTTGATGATGGAAACAAGAAAGAGTGGGTCACGATCAATGTTGATAGTACAGCTACAATCTTATTAGAGGATGAAAACCCACAAGAATCTAAGCCGGTTAAAAGCAAAAAAGTCATGAATAATTAATTAACATGTATACATATATGCATGCATGTATGTATGTATCATCGTGTGTATATATATATATATATATATATATTTGTATGTATAATATTGATATAATAATGTAATATATAGTATTTGAAGGTTGAATTAAGTGATTCCCAACTTATTTATGTCATGTTGGGATGATGATGACAACGAAAACTATTGACTACATGAATTTTTTGATGATATTAACAAGAACGTATTGAATGGTAATTTTTCTTAATTATATATAACTGTATGCGTGTTTAAAGTTGTTGAATGTATACCATATCATATTCATGTAATGTAACACAATATATTTTTATTTCGTATTTTTTGTTTTTATTTTGTTGATTTATGTGATTTTGAGAGAGCATGGGACAATTTTATATAGGTTTGCAATTTTATGAAGTATTTGACTATGTTAGTATGTTTTAATGTTTATCTTGTATTTAAATATGTTTATCAATTTAAAAGATTTAATAAATAGTTTAATATAGTAAAAATATTATACGAATACAATCAAATGTGAATATACTTCTAATTGAAAGTTTATAAATCGGATTAAAAAAACTGAAAATATATATACCATTATGAGTATTAAATAAAAGAGAATGAAATATATGTTTCTTGATATAATTTATTTAATTAAAAAAGTAATTATATTTATTGAAAATTTGTAATTTTAAAAGAATTAAGATAAATTTTTGAGTTTGAGAACTTGATCCAATCTCACCAAAATCTACATCCAGCACTATCTATTAATAAATCATCATCCACTCATTCCAATTCCCCCC